GCATCGCACAACGGTTGAGGCTCGCACATTTCGCTGGAACTCAAGCAACTCGCTCTGGGTCACCTGTGCCGGTGTCGATTCTTCAACAACGCCAAGCGAGAACCAGGTGTGTGAATTAGCGTAGGGGTCTTCTGTTTTCAGATGGTCGTCGCACCACCCTGGATATCCTAATTAAATAAAACTCATCAGGACAAAGGGTTGACGTTGGCTGACCTTGATCATTAGACCATATTTTTACGACCAAGCGCTGGAGCTCTCCAGGCCCCAGATTGAAAGTGAGGTAAGGATGTTTCGGTGTGCCTTGGTTGAAATCCTCCCGGTGTGTCTTAGTGAACACCCGAGGCTCGTGAAGGTTGCCTGTGGCCATGACTCTTGGGGACAGAAGTTTCCGCGGTCTTCCGGGGTTCTTGATATGTTGCTGGAAGAAGAGTGGCCAAACTGAATTATGCACACGAGTTTAGCAACGAAACAAAGCCGTAGGAGAATCGAGCTATGTAGAGGTGAATGAAAAGCAGCACGCTGACGCATACCCGAAGTGTTTTCTCCACTAAACTACTCTATTACCCGTCCCTCGCAGTCGTCGCTGAGTGGTAATCGCCCGACAAATAACGGTTTGCCAGCCTGTGCCACATTCTGGTTGAAAGCCTGGACATACAGGGGGTGACGCTCACCTTCGGCTCACTTATCACCGGCATACCGCGCTCGTTTCATTCGTTTACTCCACTTAACTTTTGGCCATCCTTGCCTTGTTCCTGTTGCTGACCAGGCGTTCTTTCTCTTGGCTTATGATCAGGCAGCCAATCCGACCCGGAAGGCTTTCCATGAGTCTCAAAAGATTTCTCGGCATGCTGGTGTTACTGTAGTACTGAAGCATGCAAAACACCAAATTCCTTGCAGAAATCCTTCATTCACTATCCCATCGAGTGCGAGATGACATCGGTACAAGCATATGCGGGGTAGTAACAAATTATGCTTTAATCCGACTTATTCCCTTTTATTCCCGCAAATCAAAAGCTCTAGAAAGGGGCAGATTTGGAGAAAAGTGGATTATGTATGTACCGACGTCATCTCGCACTCGATGGGATACATCAGTTTGTGCCTGTGCTCAGTGTTCTCCACTCCCGCTTCTGGCCCGTGCTGGCCCGCAGTACGTTTATCATTGCACCTCCATGTACCGGATGACTGAGATGAGCGTGATCTAAACCCAAAGCGAAATGGGCAGGAGGGTTTCCACAGTGCTCCCTATCGCCCACCTCATAATTATCTCCCCAAGACCCCGCATGGCCTATGGTCTCACTTGTTAGTGCACAAGTTCCACGCTAGAAACCAGTGTGGGCTCAAAGGTGGTATGGACTAAAGCCCCGCAGCTTGGCTTGACGACATACGTACTCAAAATATCATTCTCAGCCTGCTTCGTACCACCCACGGTAATATGGCTGCTGCAGCTCAGCGGCACAGAGTGTGTAGCGAGCATGGGAGGCTTCGAGCGGCAAGAGAGCATCCTTGTTCAAATGAAGTGGTGTCGGCTACTGTCGGCATAACTGATAGATCACACCGAGGTGGACCTATTGCATCTCGAAATGCAGCAACAGGAGGTATAATTGGTGGGAACAAGTATGTCTGGTTGCCTGGCGATGGTTCGCTCTTGTTCCCAGCCAACAGGGCATCTGTTGAACAGTTTATTTGCCTGTCGGGGATGACCTATGCGCGTCCTGCATGTCGCCATTACATACACCCAATGGCTGCAAGGCGGGTCCAGTCCCTACATCATGAGGATAACATGTCCAATTTTACGTCATGGACAACGTTCAACTGCAAGTCATCTGCACCCCGCATGAAGAACATTGATCTAGAGGCGGCAGAGGTGCCAGTTGGGCTGCCGAGCGACACGGTGTGTATTCGTGGGCGGAGTCAGCTCGCCGGTCTGGTCAGAAAGGGTCAGAAAGTGACCTCCATCATCTGCTTGGCGATACTCTCCGTCCTCTATACCTACCAGCCTTGTCGGCTGGCCCGATAGGTCACACCGAAAAACGGACGATCACTGCCTTTAGCAAAGTCTCTAAGCCACCCATTGGTCATCTTCCGACATAGCAGGCATGTGAACAGGTAGCTGAGTGTTGCTGACGGCGTGCATGAACACGTTGCAAACTGGACAGCCCTGAAAATGTCGCTAGACTGGCTACCTTGTCACGGTTCCAACACCGACAAGTGCGGGAGGGAGCCAAGAGCGATTGCATGGATACTGAGGGGACAAGCAGAGAGTCAGTCGCTGCTTATCAAAGTGGTGAAGCCTCAGCATGTTGGCCACTCGTAAGAATGCCGAAGTCAGTTGTTTTCCCGGTCTGAAGCCATTCACAGAAACCATGGCAACAGACGGGCTTTTCGAACCGCAGGTATTCACCAAGACACACCGGGAGAGTTTTGACAAAGATACACCGAAGGATCCATACCTCACTTTCAAGCTAGGGCCTGGACAGCTACAGCGCCTGGTCATCAAAATATGGTCCAACGATCAAGGCGAGTCAGGCTAAGTCGCATTATAGCATTATAGAGCTCGTATCTAACAAAAACCCGTAGGATGGTGCGACGACCATCTGAAAACAGAAGACGTCTACGCTAATTCACACACCTGGTTCTCGATTGGCCTTGTTGAAGAATCAACACCGGCACAAGAGACCCAGAGCAAGTTGCTTGAGTTCCAGAGAAATGTGCGAGCCTCAACCGTTGTGCGATGCCACACCAACCAGTGGACCCTGGGTGTGCCAGCCGAAGGGGATGATAGCGACGTCCACGCATGGCTGGAATCTTTGTCCTATGCCGAGGGCTCAGTTATTGGGGTATATCCTCTGGCAAGATACCCCGGCTGGGTGAACACAGTTTGGAAGATAGAGGTGTTGGTGTATGCGAAAGCCAGACATCAAAGCCTGTCCCCTGAACCTCACATTGGACTTAATAATGAAGACGATAGGAACGCTAACGGGGTGGGGGTTGTCGATATAGACGAGACCATACATATCATGAGTTCAACAATGCAACTGGTGTCAGAAGATCACTCCACTCAGGCTACAATCTTATATGACCTTGGAAACCGGTTGTACGACAGATACTCCCGCACTGGCGTGATGGTGGATCTCGAAGAGGCCATTCGCATTGCTAAACAAGCTGTTGAGGCCACTCCAGAAGACCATCCCGACTGGGCTAGGTGGTTAAATAACCTTGGAGTCACACTTGGCGACAGATACTCACGCACTGGCGCGATGGTGGACCTCAAAGAGGCCATTCGCATTGCTAGACAAGCTGTTGAGGCCACTCCAGAAGACCATCCCAACCAGGCTGTGTGGTTAAACAACCTTGGAGGCAGACTTGGCGACAGATACTCCCGCATTAGCGCGATGACGGATCTGAGAGAATCCCAAAAAGTCTACGCCACTGCCTTGAATTCCGTGGGCGCTGTTACCAGTACCCGCATCTTTGCCAGCAGGAGTCTACTTTCCCATCAAGCCACTCTACAGGATGGTCTAGAAGCATATCATATTACCCAGACAGCCATCAGCCTAGTACCCCTTTCCGCCCCATTTTCCCTGCAATCCGCCGATAAGCAACACCTTCTATCACAGGCTGTTGGGCTGGCCTCGGACGCTGCTGCTGTCGCCCTCTACGTTGGCCAAGGCCCTCTACCTGCTATCGAGCTTCTTGAAACCGGCCGCGGTGTGATTGCGAGTTCGCTGCAGGCAGCGCTGCCGCCAAAGCAAACAAACAAATCAACGCCAAGATTTGACTAATTTGACTGCCTTTTCCCCAAGATTGGTTGATTTGCCCTATTGGCCAATATATCAAACAAATCCACAGAACACGTGACCCAACGACGCCTATACTAGTTACCCAATTAGGAAATAAGTGAAGCTATTCACAACTATTCATGATGCAATATGTGAGCCAATCTCAACCCCCATAGGCATGGCTTTCCTTTTCAGCCAATTTTTTGTCAACTGCAGCTGACCCATAGTCTGAGGCTTCATTGAGTGCCTTTGCGACGTCAGGGTCAGCTTCGCAGTACTGAATGCCCTCTCACAGTCAGCAGCCATGGCTGGTATTGCCAACACATCAAGAGCTAGTCTACTGAGTAGAGGATACGTTGACTGGTGGTCTCTCCACCACTTAACAGGATCTTCCGTAGATGTAGGAGGTTGCCTGAGGTACGTCTCCAGCTCATCCTGCTGTCGAGAAGTCTCACAACTTCGTCTACTCTGCACCCATTGCCTGAAGTGGCTGTCTTCATGGGATGGAAGTATGATCTCAAGAACAGCCATAGAGTCATCAGACTCTTCCTCGGACCTATACCAATGGTCAAAGTAGTCCCTGAGCCCCTTCTTTGCATCACGAACCCACTCAAGCTGAACCCCTTCATCTTAGACTGCCTCAAGGTATGAGATACCAAGTGAAGGGTGGAGAATAACAGAAGCAGCAAATAAGGGAGACTCCTCCAACTTTATATAGTAGCAGGAGAGCTTCTGCCAAGCCAACTCAACAGAAGTACGGAGGTGTTCCTGGTACGAGGAAGAGAGACCTCTGAACCGAGCAGTATGTTGACTCCAGTCCTCTCTCACATGTTGTGGAAATAGAGATTCCTAAAGAGGCTGGGTCTAACCGTTAACTAACGATCGAATGGGACGCCCTGATCGAGTCTGTGATAGTGGAGACTCTTTCTCAGCAACTAGACTGATCATAGACGACTCATCTTCCAGTTGAGAATCAACAGGGTGGAGTATAGAGTTGTATAGACTCTTCCACTCCTCAAGATGCTCAAGGAGGTACTCCATACCAATCATGACTTCCCAGAGACAACCATGCCCATCCCCCTTTCCCCACCCCTCCATCCTCTTCGTCTGCAGGTAGAAGGGCTCAAGGATAGCCTTGACTTCAACCAAGACTTTCCAATCTTCTGGAGAAAGAAGGTTATCGTCAGGTATCCTTTTGCTGGCGTTTTCCTGCTCCTGGACCTAGTTGATGTAGGTCTCAATCTCTGCCCTCTTCTGGAGAGCTCGATGGATCATGAGGTAGGTGGAATTCCATCTCGTCTCGTTGTTGAGAAGAAGATATGACTCCTGGGAACCCTGGCTGAATAGCTCGAAGTCTGACCCAGCATCAACCTCTTGGGCTGCTTTCCTGAATCGCTCAGATCGCTGAGGGGAAGCCCTGATGAACTTAACAATGTTACGAAGCTTACCAACAGGCCCGGTCTTCCTCCAGAGTTTCAGATCTTCCTCCTCATAATGGACAGACTGGTAGAAGAGTGACTCAGCCTCAAAGACTTTGCGATCAGCACCAAAAAGAAGGGCTCATGCCACCAGGTTGAGTATGTGGCCGCAGCATCGCATTCTCCTTGCCTGATAGTCCCCCTGATCCATCATAGGGTTAAGTCTCCTAAAGAGGGCAGAGATGCAGGTATCGTTGTTGCTGGCGTTGTCACAGGCCACCACACCCACTTGGCCAGTGATATCCCATTGCTGAAGAGTCTCGTAGATGTTGTTGGATATGTTGGGACCGCTGTGATCGCCGCTCATGTGGTTGAAGGCGATGAGACGAGATTGGTGCTGGCCCATACTGTTAATGAAGTGGGCAGTGACTGCAAGGTAGGCGTAATTGTTGGGTGACGTCCACAGATCAAACCTAATATGGATCTTAGTGAGGGCACTTTGGAGTTCATCCTTAACGTAAGATTGCCCCCTAGAAAAGAGAACGGGAAGATGGTCCATCATTGAAGTCCTACCCCATAGCACCTGACCAACTAGAGAGGAGTTATGGAGTCATAGAAGCTGTTGAACGAAGCTATCTTGAAAGTGGTTGAATAGTAGATCGTTGGTGATGATGGTGGAGAGACAGAGATCTCTGACAGTAGTCACTTTCAACTTGGGTATATGGGAGATCTTCCTCCTCTTTGATGAACGAATGCTTTGTTCTGAGCTGTGGAGAGTCTCTCCTGAGCTTGTCTCATCGGTAGCAGAACCCTATTGTGAGACTTGATGGCATCTGTGTATAAACCAGTTAATAATAATTATACCAAAGGACAAATATATACCTGCGAAGATGGTCTGCTGCAGAGCTAGAAGCAGTAGCAGCAAAGAACTCTGGCTTTCCTTTACTATCATATTATTAACAGCACCGGTAAGCACCAGCTAGCCCCTCATCATAAAGTTTAATAAGGAAGACCCTATAGTCCTTGATCTAACTCTTCCTCCCCCTGCCTCCTTTACAGGCCAGCTACTCCTCAACCACATATCTCTTGTTCTGCCATATGATCGTAGGGAGGTTGAAGATGGATGGATTCGAGGGAAGAACAACAGAGAGACTGTTAGCCACTTGAGTTGCGACTCTGGAGGGGGATCAAAGCAGTTGAAGTGCGTTGGTAGTCAGAGGAGTGGGGGACAGCATCTGTGAATAGCATCGTTAGTTATGAAACCAAGACATCATCATGCCTGCAGAAGAAGAGCTTCCTGAATGGATGGGAACGCCCTTATATAGGGCCAGGGAGAGGGGAGGGGTGGGTAGCTGACGTACAGTTGAAGTCATCATAGCAAAGGTAGGCAAGCCCAGAGTGTTAGCGATGTTGCTGATGTTGGCTGCTTGTGAGGCATGACGAAGAAGAAGAAGAGACATAGCAAGAGGGCGATTCCAGTGCTTTTATACCCATATCCAATGTCGATAGGAGTCATAGATCACTCAGGAGTATTACCTCAAGAGGAAATACAGCCAGGAGGGCAGAAAAGAACGTCGCAAAGCTGTCAGGATTAATAGTGCTGCATACAGAAAAAGAAAGCTGACCGCGATGGGCGTGAATATTCGCGATAATGGCATCCCATTCCATATATGCAAGCTTATATGATACGCCAAGCCAAACCAACCCAATATATCAAATCCGGGGGGTCAGAAGTTGTTTGATTGATAGTTGGCAATAGCCTCAGTTGTTTGATTTGTTTGGAAGTTTGATTGATAGATTGGCTTTAGCGGCAGCGCTGGCTGCAGGACATCCGCACCGACCTTTCGTCACTGGAGAAAGAGCACCCGAATCTAGCTAAATCATTTGTCGACCTCCGTGACCTACTCGACGCACCAGTATCAACTCGTTCTGCTGATATCACTTCACCAGTTACAACGCCTTCCGCATCATCTTCCGCCATAGCTGATCAACGCCACCAGGCAAGCAGCCGGATGACCGCCCAACTTAATAACATCCGCCACCAGCCTGGTTTTGAGACGTTCCTCGTGGCCGCAACGGAGACCCAGATGCAGGAGGCTGCAGCCCAGGGTCCTATCGTCATTATCAACGTCAGTCGTCACCGCTGTGACGCTTTGATTATCGAGAAGGTCGGACTTCAGGCTTTGCAGTTACACCAGCTTACCCGCGAAGACATTCTCGTCAAAACTAGCCAATCCAAGTCTCTTGAAACTCTGAGCTGGCTCTGGACGGTTGTGGCTAAGCCTGTGCTGGACGCTTTAGGCTTTACCAAAACTCCACCAAATGACGACTCTTGGCCCCATGTATGGTGGATTCCCACAGGACCTCTCGTTAGGTTTCCACTCCATGCGGCCGGATATCATCTCCAGGGCAATTCAGAAACAGTACTTGATCGAGTTGTCTCGTCGTACAGCTCATCCATTAAGTCGATTATTAACACCCGCCAACAGCCCCAAAAGCCAACAGCAAATCAGGACCTACAAGTCGTCCTCGTTGCTATGGAAAAGACACCATCACAGAGTGATCTCCATCACGCAGCTAACGAGGTGGACAGAGTGCGGGGTATCTGTACCTTAATAGGGGTGCCATATCGTCAACCACAACCCTACCAAAAACCAGTCCTGGACGACCTGAATACCTGTCAAGTCTTTCATTTCGCTGGACACGGCAGCACACATCCAACAGATCCACTTCAGAGCTGCTTACTTCTTGAGGATTGGGAGCATAACCCACTCTCTGTCGGGAACCTTCTCGACAAGACCAATCTTCGCTCCACTTCGCCATTTCTCGCCTACCTCTCGGCCTGCGGGACTGGCCAGATTCAGGACGATAAGTCTGTGGATGAGAGCATCCACCTCACGAGTGCATTCCAACTGGCAGGGTTCCGGCACGTGATAGGCACGCTTTGGGCAGTCGACGATGCGCTGTGTGTAGACATAGCAAGGATAACGTATGAGTTTATGAGTGAGAAGCAGTTCAGTGATAAGTCAGTAGCTCACGGGCTCCACTATGCTATGAGAACGATACGAGACCAGTGGGTTGGTAAGGTGGGATGTTCGGGGGTGAAGCAGAAACGGGATGCGGTTTTGATCACAGATGCAGTGCGGGGCACGCCGACATGGGTTCCCTATGTTCATTACGGCGTTTGAATTCGTAAGACAGGCAGTACTTTATTATTGTTAATTGAATATATTCTGTATTGCTCTTCTTCCACGCAACTACATAGTGGTAAGCAATGGGTGAATCGATTTAATTCAATTTCCTTAACTCTGTAACCACTTCTGTACCTAATTGACTACCTTGCGAAGGCGTTATTGATCCAAAGGCTCCGAATCATTGCTGAGTCTTTCATTCCTTCCCTTTAGCGAGTTTTACGGTTGTGAGTTGCCCGAGTTTCCGCTACCTTCGACTGGGAATTTGCCAGCAATTCTCAGCACCCCAAAGGAAACTTTCGCGACACTGCTGTTTATTTCAGTTTATGATCTTCCCTCTACAACGCCAGCTCACATGCCCCTATGTTACCGTGGCAGCTGAACCTGCCGAAGTGGTTTCGCCGGAAACGAAAACAGTGAGGACAGTGGCAAACCTGCCCGGTCAGTTCGATCGTCCAAAGTGGGGAGTAAACATACGTGGCTCCTGCTAGTATGAGTTCCATCATCCTTGAGTTCGTCAATCGGGACAGTATGAATAGGTACGAAACCGTGGAAATGATGATCACGAATACTCGAGCCACAACGCTGTCGACGACGATGCAGATTACTACCGGTGTGAGGATAAGGCCCGTAACCAGAAAAAGCATCAGCGCTCGAGCGCTTTGTTTGATCAAAGAGCCGGAATAGATGTACACATTCGTATCATTTGACACATCGTGGAGGGAACTCTGTTTCTCTCGTGAGCTGACATTCTGCTTTGGAAGGCACTCGTTACCTTGCGGAATCCTCGATGATATTGAATGAGTTTATCCTCCACCCAATCTTCCAGTTTTTCCATCGCGCTGTCTTTTGGGGTAGCTATAGCAGCTAGATCCGCGGTCTCTTCTAGGTACGCTGTTTCATTTCTGCTCAAGCAGCTGGTATCTTCAACCCAATTTCGCAAACTTAGAACATCCCTGGGGCCTGCAGGACTCAAACTGAGTGTCCGGCGCGTCTGATCACAGAAGGAATCTGGAGATTGTCAGACTAGATCTGTAAAGAACGGTAGGTGGCATGAACCGTAATCGGCTAGACACTGTTCTATCTCACGAAGGAGAGAGTGGCGAGCATCATTTTTGTCGCATCGACTTCTTCCGAGAAATAAGGGCGACCCCTCGTTCTCATCGAGCTGGTCCAGTTGTTCCTCGAGAACAGACAGGTGGTCTTGTTTCAGCAAAAGGATTCGGGCGCGGAGCCGCAGGAAACGCCTGAAAGTAAAAAAGGAATCGCTAGCTGCTATGAGAGCAGCAAACCGAGGGTATCCAGCCCTGTAATCCTCAACTAGGTATGTGAGCCAGAGCCCGTAAGTCTCAGGGACAGTCTTACTTTTCTTTCCTTGCCGTACGTTGGTCGTCTGGCATCCCAGTTCCAAATCCACTGGGTTTTGCCTATATGACGGCACTTTCCAGCCAGTGCTGAAAGATCGAAGGCGCTGCATTGTGGTTCGCCGTAGATGCCTGACTTTGCGTTTGTGAAAGACGCCGATTATTCTTCGCTTTCTAAAGCCATAGCAGTGGTGTTGTGTTATTTCAGGTCGTGGCGCCATTTCGGACGTTATGCTGATGCATTTGAGGTACACATTGCTCCGACAGAGCTAATGCGGTGAGCCTACTTCAGGCAGCAATGCAGCGAGGGTTGCGCACCGCATGCACTTGGCGGGGTCGACGTCGGAGGGCAAGGCATACTGCGGCTCCAAAGGGAATTACAAAAGCAAAGGCAGCCAACGACAATGGAGGGTAAAGAGACTCGCGAATGACAGGCAGAGGCCCAAATACAGAAAAAACGCTCCCACCACACCACCTCCGCAATGAGCACTCCCACCAGGCAAGCACGATCTATACCATACTTCGAAACTACCACTCACGCTGTGCGACCAGGTGCGAGAGCCCGAAATTCTTCATATGCGATGAAGACGAAGGCCGCGCCAGGATTGTATCGGCCCATACGGTAAGCTGTCATCTCCTTCGTCATAAGATCCCGCTGAGATTTGCGGACAGAATAACAAGTTTAGAGTGGGTGATTCCGTGTACCTACGCACTGCAGGTGGTGGAAAGGAAGGTCCCTTTGCTATCGAATCTGTGCCTGCCGCGGGGAAGTACACCATCTGCACCCAGGATGGCCAGTCTGTTAAGAGGGGTGAGCAAATAGATGAGAAAGACTTGGAACAGGCATAGAA